AAGATTTTTTCAGCAATATTTCAAAGGTTGACCATACAGAATGTTATACAGCTGAAAATCGCGTTGGTGTATCTCGTAGATGCCGTTATGCAATTAGACTTGGAGAAGCAAAAAATAGAAAAGAATGAATTTTGGGCTAAACACCATTTTTCGAGAAGATACTCCACGAAGTCTTCAAAACCAGCATCATGTATTTCTGATCGATCTAAAATTTTCTAACCATTCTGGGTTAATATTGGCCGAAAATGTACGGAACTATATTAAGTGATGCAGTGTTTTTTTTTGCTTTTCCATTTTTTTTGCAAGTCTTTTTGTCTTATTCGTTGCAAGAAATATTATTTATTTTCTAGTTCATATAGAGCTCAACACTCCTAATTTAAACCTTGATTTAAAGCGTTCTTTGTATTATAAAATGAGTCAAAAGCAACTTTAGTAAATTAAATATCTTTTTGTTTTTACTAAACGCATAATTTATATTGTATAATTGAAACCGGCAAAAAAATTCATCACTTTAACCCCATTTCTCCTCCCTGACACAAAAAAAAATCTCAAAACTCCCCCACATACAGAAACATAAATCCTTCCAATCCTACGAAAACGGACACAAATTCCAAACAATCAATTGATCAATCCTTCAACTTCCCTCAAAACCCCAATTTCTCATAACCAAAGCAATAACCGTCAATAATACCGTTTCAGAAAAATATTTTTTTCGAAAAATTCCCATAGACAGTAATAAATAAAAGAAGAACCCTCTTGTTGGTACTATAACCGGGGGGTGGTTTCGCAACAAAAGAAGCGAAGCAATTACACATCAAACGCCGTAGCCCGACGGGAAAAATTTCCCCGTTTAGGAATTCATATATTGTTTTTGAAATAATGCCGTAACGAGATTTCATCCCCTTTTCGCATTCGAGGGATGATATGTCGTCGCGGTTGTATCGCGACAAGTATCTCGACGAGTAAAATTTTCGGTTTTCCCCCCTCTTTACGCGGTGTCACTCGAAGTGATTGACTATGTTAATAACGGAAGAAGTTGCATTTTTGGGACCACCCCTCTTTTATTAGTTACGGTAACGTGAAATAAGGGAGGGTTACCAAACGATATTACACCGTTTAATTAAAGGAGGAGAATAACCTTTTTCGATTTTAAAAATAAAATTTTTTTTTGTTTACTAAAAAATCAAAATAATCTAATAAACCAAATTAGCCCTTATTTTCAGATTGAGGCGGTTCCATTTTATAGTGGGGACCCCCCATTACGGAGCCCTACAGATAGAGAGAGAGAGAGAGAGGACCAAAAGGTTCTCTTCGTTTCTCCCGGATTAATTGAAATGCCTCGCATACCGCCTCCACCCCGTAAAGCTCCCCCGGGGGGAGCAAGGGGTAAAATGGGGGCGGATGCGGCGCCATCGACCCGGATGAACTCGCTTCGTCTACCGACCTGATGAAATTGTTATTGTTACGGCGCGTCACGGTCGATTTTAGCCCCCCATTTAAACCCCCTTCCCCCCAAACAACTCTTATCATCGCTACCCTTTACAGATTCCGAAAAGCAGTGACAGAGAGAAGGAAAAGGGGTCGTATACCTTTGATGAATACCTTGTTNAGACAGAGGGAGAATTTGTTATTTGTTTCAAAGAATAAATTTTTTTTTACTCCATAGTAATTAATCCCATAAATATGAACCATGCGCCGTTACAGCCGTCAGACTGAATTTTCCGAGCTGTATTTGTATTTAAAAGCTTGTTCTCAAAAAATTATCAAAATCGAGAATATTCTCCTTTTTTTTCTCGAGAATTTTTCATCTCTAGTCATAATCAAATACACTGCACTTTTCAACTGCACAACGTGGCACGTCGCATCATTCAGGTATTCAGGTATTCACATCAGGTATTCACATAATTGCTAATATATACATTGATCATAGCAGTGTGTGTATATGTTGGAGGCAGATGACGAATTCGGCCCGTGGCCGATTTATTTAGACATATCGGCATATGTCTAAAGCTGTTAGGTCACATGACGAAAAAATGATACAATCGGGATCTGACCATATCAGTTTGAACACGTCCCGATATGTACATTTACACAATGCGCCGATCCGATCGGAACTACACATAACCTCTTTTGGGATGTTTATGAGGGANCCCCAATTAAACCCCCTTCCCCCCAAACAACTCTTATCATCGCTACCCTTTACAGATTCCGAAAAGCAGTGACAGAGAGAAGGAAAAGGGGTCGTATACCTTTGATGAATACCTTGTTGTCTTTATCTTTCTTTATCTTCGGCCCTCCTTTCTATCTAATCCTATAAGGTCCAGGTATTAAGTTGTAGCAAGTTGAAACTTCATCAGACATTCGGGAACATTCGACAACTAGAAACATTCGGGTTTAGCCGTACGTCTCTTAAGATGGCTAAAGCCGAATGATTCTAATTCTAGGTCTAGCACTGCATAACAATTAGAACTAGAACTAACACTAGACCTAGAACTAGAAACATTTCTTCAGACGCACGGCTAAACCCGAAACTTTCTAGTTCTAGGTCTAGTGTTAGTTCTAGTTTTACACTAGCTCTATTACTATGTAGTATTAACACTATACTTAGAACTAGAATCATTTGGGTTTAGCCGTACGTCTCTAAAGACGGCTAAACTCGAATGATTCTAGTTCTAGGTACAGTGTTAGTTCTAGTTTTATACTTGCACTGCTACTAGAGCTAACATAAGCCCTAGAACTAGAAACATTTGGGTTTAGTCGTCTTTAGAGACGTGCGGCTAAACCCGAATGATTCTAATTCTAGTGTTAGTTCTAGTTTTACACTAGCACTATTACTATGTAGTATTAACCAGTGTTGTTAAATACGCGGGTATTTATTTTCAAGGGAAAATTCCCTGGATATATACCCGGGGGTATTTACCCAAGCTGGGTAGTTAGAGGTATTTATAAAATTTGATTAAATTGAGTTGATGACAGTTTTGCAAGTACTTCAAGAATGCAGAGTCGATTATCGATACACCAAACTTATGACGGCTTATTTAATGACGGTAAAATTGCATGTAAGTACTGACCGAAAACCCATTGGGCGTGGAGTAAGACAAGACGATACAATGTTGCACTCAAATTGTTCATCACAGTCCTGGAGAGTGCATTTAAACAATTAGATTGGACCCAAAAAGGTATAAACATTGATGGCAATACCTAAATAATTTGCGCTACGCGAACGATACAGTCCTTATGTCGGATAGCTTTGGAGAGATGAAACTGATGCTGAACGACTTACAGGAGGTGTGCAAAAGTCGGGCTAAAGATCAACGTCGAGAAATCAAAATTTATGACAAATCTTGTTCCCA